AGGGGGGTGGCTAGATACCGAATGAATGGTGTAACGAGCACCAGTTCATGACTGTTGAACTCTCTGCTTTGGCAGAGAGGAACCCGGACGAAGCTTTGCCGAAGGGCAAGGTTTCCTCCGCGGAGGTAGACAAGCCCTGAACCCGTCCAGGCGGGTTCAAAGGGTATATTTTTGGCCAAGCCTACGGGCTCCGAAAACCCACGTTAAACTTGGCCTTGTGCCCCATGCAACCATCGTAGGGGGTGGCTAGATACCGAATGAATGGTGTAACGAGCAGCAGGTCATGACTGTTGAACTCTCTGCTTTTGGCAGAGAGGAACCCGGACGAAGCTTTGCCGAAGGGCAAGGTTTCGTCCGGGAAGGTAGACAAGACCCTGAACCCGTCTAGGTATATTTTTGGCCGAGCCTACGGGCTCGGGAAACCCACGTTAAACTTGGCCTTATGCCACATGCAACCATCGTGTGGGTTGGCTAGATACCGAATGAATGGTGTAACGAGTCGAGACAATATTAGTTCACTCTAAACCAGACGGACAGTCTTTACTAACATCTTCGACTTCTTGTACTATATTTCTGTTGTAATATATATTATGTTATTCTGCTCTTGTGTTCATGTTGTTCTTCCTTGGTTCTAACCTTTGTCCATAATTGTGGTGCGAGGATATTGGACCATAACAGTGGCGACGAGGAACTGAAGAAACGAATTCTATGCGGCGGAAAAACCTTTTTGCTATCCGTCGGCCATAACAGTAATTTTGTGGCAATACATGCTTAAGGTTTTAAGCAGTTTTTGATCAATATTTCTTTTCGTGGTTAGCCATAAGGAATTGTAAATGTAGGACTACCTTACACTTAAGTAAAATAATAACAATAACAATATTTATTAAGGATTTTTTGCAGGAAATATCATGTTTTACGAAAACATTGTTGACAATTATGTATTTAATTACATAACAAATAAATAAAAATAATATTTAAATTTTTTATGCTATCTTCGGTTTATTCTTAGGCATTTTCATTTCCTCCTTTAGGCTCCTCCATGTCCATAATCGCCTCGGATGTTCTTTGAATCATGTGTTGGCTATTACCTGGTCATTGGCCGTGCATCACTGGATCCATTTTTCTCCACGTTCGTTGCGGGTTCCTAGACGAAATTTTCCGGCTATATCCTCTGCCCTCTCTCCGCCTAATTGGCGTTTAGTTCTCTCATTATAATTATGACTTCTTGTGATTTGCAAAGAGCCTTGGCATTGTCTAGCATGGAGTAGAAAGATTCGATTTTTCTTCCCTTACTTTGCGCTGTCGGGGCATACACTATTATGACAGCTATGTTGAAGGCTTTCCTTTCAGATTGACTACAAGAATTTATTTCGGATAGTTGGTAGTATCCCGGAACGCAATTTTTAAATACTTTATCTAGTATCAATCCTACTCCTTTATCGTTTTTCTCTCCGCCTACATAAATAATCCTGTACTCGATATTGACAAAATCTCCGTTGTTTGGCCTACTCATCCCTTGTTTCACATTATCTAACTAGCCGCAGTTGTTCAACGTCCGAGCGTTCCATGTCCCGATAGTTATTTTATGCTTGATGCGAGCAGACGCAAGATAACGGCCCGGTGACACCTGTCGCTGCTGTCATTCCTTTCCGGGCGAGAGATAGGTTCAGAGAAATTTTATCCCCTTTACGCCGTTTATGCTAGCAGTCGCTAGATTATGGTCAGGTGAAACGTGTTGAGCATGTCGGCCCTTACCGTGTAAGGAGTTAATTCCCATAGACTTAAGCTCCTTCACGCCGTTAGGTTTCATATAGTGTGTGTTGTTATCCATGATATATCTTGAGATTAATAGTGGAGTAGTTTCCTTTTACCTTCTCAACTGTTGTTTATGGCGACACCACCTCGAGTCATCTGGCCGTTGACTCAGAGAATTTTTCCGCCATTTGTTAGGTCTTATTTTTCGTCCTACTGGCTCGCTAACAAGCCGCCTCACTCGGAAGAACTTACAGTGGGGTAGTCAGTTTAGTCGCCGACATTTCGACTGTGGAATATTTACCATATATATATATATATATATATATATATATATATATATATAGAGAGAGAGAGAGAGAGAGTTATTCGGGACCCAAATCTCTTTGGTCAAGGAAAATCTTTTACACACAGTGTAAGTTTAGGGAATAGAATAAAATGATTACAGGTTTTTTTTGTTTTAACTTAAGTTCCATTGCTCACTATAAAACAATATGCGATTATCAAGAAATTATTTTACTCACATTGGTTACCAAAACCCGAAGGAAGCCATATTACACACGATATATACGCGTATATATAGAAAATTTTAAATTTACAAATTAAACCTAAGTGGTCTAAAATTAAAAAAATAAAAATAAAATAAAAATACATCCAAACAACATCATGGAAAAAGCGATTCTTAGCACTTACAATTGGAATTTTATGTTAAATCTTGTTAACCTCGAATCAATTGTCATTTAGTGTGGCATACTCTAAATTTACGTCTCCATTTTAGAGACCAAATGCGTTGTGGTTGGTTAGGTTAGGGAGATGGGCGACCCAAAAAACAAAAACGAAGTCACGTTGAGGAGGGACTTCTACGAAATGCTACAGTGACCAACCATTCTTTAAACCCTTGGGAATGGCGACTTTGCGTATCAAATAAAATAAGACAAATGGAAAACAAGAAAAAAAAATTCTTCTTCATTTTCCTGGCTTTTTTATCGAGCAAATAGAGCCCCACTGGTTACCAAGACCAAGTAAGCCAGATTAAACACGATATATACGCGTATATGATGAAAATTTTAAATCTACAAATTAACCTAACGGGTCGAGAAATAAAAGATGATACAAAATAAATACAGAAAAGCTAATGTGAAAAAACAAAAAACAAAAAAAAAAACTGATTCAGAAATTAATGTTATTGCTTTATATGAAATGCTTCCATTACAAGAATACTGCATTCTTTTTTTCCACTCTTTCTGTTCCTATGAAACGGATTCCAAAATTATGTCTTCCGCTTAATAATTCATTCATTTTTCTTCTCATTTGAATTCCTGAAGTTTTCACTGACTGCTTAGAGTTCGATTAAAGTGCATTTCACCATCTCCGTTGTCATGGATACATACAGATTAAGCCGGCCATCCGAGGCGTCATCATTTATACTACTGACAAAATCGGTTTTGTGGCTGTCAAAGATTTTGCATAAAATGTCAGGCTAAGCTTTTTCCTTACTCTGAGGCGAAAAGGTCGAAGTCCGACGACTCTACTTTGTTAAGCCTAAACATTCCATCAATAAAACACAAAACTGGTAAAGGCTAAAACATAGAATCATACGTTCTTTTTTATAGATACAAGTATTTAAGTAAATGCTCTGTTTATAATAAACAGTATTAAATAACATTTACCGGCCTGAATGTCCGAGAAAATTTCATAGAAAATATTCGTCCTTTGATAGGATTCGAACCTGCATCCTATACGGAACCGTCATTTAGCTTGACGTGCCTAACCTCTCGGCCAGAAAGGAGCGTTCGGTAGGCAAGGTCGAATTTACTGCTTATACGGAACGCTCCTTTGTGGCCGAGAGGTTAGGCACGTCAGAGTAAATGACGGTTCCGTATAGGATGCAGCTTCAAATCCTGTCAAAGGACGAATATTTTCTATGAAAATTTCTCGGACATTCAGGTCGGTAAATTTTATTTAATACTGTTTATTATAAACAGAGCATTTACTTAAATACTTGTATCTATAAAAAAGAACGTTAAACATAAAAATGTCTTTAATAAATAAATTGTCGGACTTTGTCCATTTCTTAATATATAGAATCATACATAAAAAGGAATTTTCAGTTACACTAAAAAAAACAAAAAAACATTAAAAAAAAGCATCGACAAATCTGTTAGAAGATCGGTCGTTGTGTGTCGATATGTTTTAGTGCAAATCGAGCGAAGACGTTTTGATGATTTTTAATTAACCATAATCGTTCAAATGTTTCCGTTTCACTTACGAATATGTATTCTGCGCTCTGCCACTGATGGGGAGTAAAACAGCGCTCATAATATATGGATTTTTACATCCACTTGCTACTTTTAAGTAATGTATATCATTCAAATTCACAGGCACCAACACACACGCACGCGCACGCGCATGCGCATGTAGCGGGTGTATTTGGGTTTTCATTTATGCAATTTAAAATCTCTGGGAAGCATAATGAGGAAATTGGCTTGGAGAATTTGACACTCACAGGATATAGTAAAAGTCAGGAGGGACAGAAAGAAATAGCGTATATCCTACCTAACGTGTAAACGATGTTTAGAAAAGGGACTGAGAGGTAAAGTAAGTAATTGGGGGTCTATAGGATAAGAAGCTGCGGGGAGTCCGGATCACTCACCCTCTTAAGAGACACGACGGAGAGAAAAAAAAAGAAGAAGCATACCAATTTACAAGGAATCGAGCGTAATACATTAAGTTCGATTCCTTTTACGGTAGTTATCCACCAGTTTAGCGCAGATGTTATATATATATATATATATATATATATATATATATACATAGATAGATAGATAGATAGATAGATAGATAGATAATATTAGTGGTAAATATACACATACATATGCAAAATATATAAATATATATACATACATGCATACACATACATATATATTTTGAATAAAAAAATTCCAAGAGGAAGAATCCAGGTAGAACTCAATGCCAAGGACAGAGTAAAGATATAATAAAAAGGCTAAAACACTAATATTCCATGGTCATATTTTATTCCATTGGAATCGTAAATACGATCCACTGATGAATTGGATCGTATTTACGATTCCAATGGAATAAATTATGACCATAGAATATTAGTGTTTAATCCTTTTTTATATATATATATATATATATATATATATATATGAAGAGAGGTAGATTGATAGATAGATAGATAATGAACTGAGATAGATGAGAACAGACTTACATAGATATATCCAAGACTACTGAGATAGATAGATAGATAGATAGATAGATAGATAGATAGATAGATAGATAGATAGATAGATAGATAGATAGATAATGACCAGACTGAGATAAATGAAAATAGTCTGATATAGTAATATCAAAGATAAAAATGCCGATACCGAGGCAAATCCCTTTCACAATCTAATCCGGACATGGCAGTCAAAGTCCATAAAGATGTGTATGAACCGAAAAAGAAATGGAATACCTTTTATTAACCGTCATATTTTTTAATGTTTGATTTTCCAGATATATGGCTTATTTTTTTCAGAAATGGGTCGTAAGAATGCTGGACAATCATTAATTGATGTTTTACTGCGGATATCAAGAATTGATAAGATTTTTCCCAATGATATGAGCATCATTCATTTATGGTTCGAGTGTAAATGATTAATTGGCGACTCGTGGATTCATGAGGTTATATACTTTTCTGGAGTGCAAACCAAAAACAGTAGTATGGGAAAAAGAGGCGAAAATGGCGATAACTTTGTGCAAAGCATGCACAATTACATAGTGTATGGAATGCCTAAAAGGTTATCATATTGTAAAAATATGAAATTTACGAACCTAACATTTGTTTAATTTCCCCTTTTCTTCATTTTGTTTATTCTAAAAGGTTTAAAATATTACTTTTATAGTTTTTCATATAATTAAAGCAAAAATACGCATTAAAATCTAAACTTTTAGAAATGTATTTTCTCGTTTTTTTATCCGTTTGGCGCGCAGCTTTCTTGCAATCATTTAGCAGCGTTTAAGATTTAAGATAATATCCATAAATCCAGTTACGTGAAAAAGTCGATGGCTAGAAATTTTAGTCAACGTGTTGATCTTTCCCGATTTTTGTGCAAACAATATTATTACTTCCAATATTTTTCACTCTGAATTTTCCAGAAAATATCAATCGTGAAATAATTATAAATACACACAGACATATATATATATATATAATCGACTCTCCCGTCGAGATTCGACGTATGAGGGTCAAGCAGATCAGTTCCCAGGAAACCAACAGCCCGACAACAGCACATGAGATTTGATTATAGTGGTGAAGGTTTCGTGCAAGACAATCCACACTTTTTTAAGGGCCGAATACAGAGACCTGGTACACCGAATGCCACAAGGTTCCCAAACGACCCTCCGCAGGTTTTGAATTCCTTCTCATAAACCAGTTGCTATCCAAGGCTATAGAACCCAGTCTGTTCTGCTATTTTACCCATAGCTGGAGGGAGAGGAAGAGGATTCATACCTTTCCCAAGGGTATTAGCACGTAAGTGAATGTAATGGATTCGACTGGAATTCGAACTCGGCTATATATATATATATATATATATATATATATATATATATATATATATATATATATATAGTCATCCGCAGACAAGCTGTTCCGCAGCTCATCAGTGTGGCTAGACATCCGATTGCTTCAGATCGAAACCAAAACTCGACGAATGGCAGAGAGAAAAGTTATTTTTTTTTTATTAAATAGATAGATAGATAGATAGATAGATAGATAGATAGATAGATAGATAGATAGATAGATATTTCGGTAACATTCGATCGAAATCGATGTCCAGGAAAGATAGAGACGAACATTAAATTCTATTTATGAAGGGCAGAGACATGAGTGTTTTTAAAAGAGAACTGGAAAGTAATAAAAAGAAGGATTGTCGACGAAAAACGTAAAACGAGAAACCTTTAGTAGGAAGGAAAAAAAAAAAACAGAAAAGAAGAGTTGCAGAGAGCCAGGTGTGAGTATGGTTTCAAAGATGGGAAAGACGTTTTAGGGTGACTTTTGATACCAGGTGAGTCCGGTCGAGTTGTACAGCATTGCAAAGGTTTCCGGTTAGACTCAGTAAATTGGATAAAGAAGAACTATAGAGACAAAACAAGCAGAAAGTGGGGAATGAATGACAAACTAATAGGAAGAGACGATGTAATCGAAAACTAAACAAAACTTCGAAAAAAAAAAGAACTGGATTCTGACGTTTATAGGATATGAAGAAATAAAAAAAGCAGTAACAAAACAATATAGAAGAAGAAAAATGAGGTAGGAGGCAAAGACAGCAGGAGGAAAAGACAATAGGAGATAAAGATGGTAGGAGTAAAAAACGGTAGAAGGGAGAGACAATGGGTAATAAAGATGGTAGGAGTAAAAAACGGTAGAAGGGAGAGACAATGGGTAATAAAGATGGTAGGAGTAAAAAACGGTAGAAGGGAGAGACAATAGGTAATAAAGATGGTAGGAGTAAAAAACGGTAGAAGGGAGAGACAATGGGTAATAAAGATGGTAGGAGTAAAAAACGGTAGAAGGGAGAGACAATGGGTAATAAAGATGGTAGGAGTAAAAAACGGTAGAAGGGAGAGACAATGGGTAATAAAGATGGTAGGAGTAAAAAACGGTAGAAGGGAGAGACAATGGGTAATAAAGATGGTAGGAGTAAAAAACGGTAGAAGGGAGAGACAATGGGTAATAAAAGATGGTAGGAGTAAAAAAACGGTAGAAGGAGAGACAATGGGTAATAAAGATGGTAGGAGTAAAAAAAAACGGTAGAAGGAGAGACAATGGGTAATAAAGATGGTAGGAGTAAAAAAAAGTAGAAGGGGAGACAATGGGTAATAAAGATGGTAGGAGTAAAAAACGGTAGAAGGGAGAGACAATAGGTAATAAAGATGGTAGGAGTAAAAAACGGTAGAAGGGAGAGACAATAGGTAATAAAGATGGTAGGAGTAAAAAACGGTAGAAGGGAGAGACAATGGGTAATAAAGATGGTAGGAGTAAAAAACGGTAGTAGGAAAAGACGGTAGAAAGAAGAGGCGGTAGGAGGAAGAGATGACAGGAAGTAAAGATGGTAGAAGTAAGAAAAGGTAGTAGGAAAAAACAGTAGGAGGAAAAGGCGGTAAGAGGAAGAGATGGTAGGAGGAAGAGAGGTAAAACAAGGAAAACGGTGAAAATGAAGTCAAAATCTTCAAAGTTATGAGATCATAAAGAAAGAATAAGAAAACGTAAAGGGAGAAAGTGCGACGGCAAAAGTTAATAAAGAAAGAAAAGAAAGAAGTAGAAAGATTAAGAAAGTGGGATGACTAAATGAAGGAAAGACAAAACAGAAAGAATAAGAGAAAGAAAGGCTGAAGAAAGTGAAAGACAGTAATATAAAGAAAGAAAGAAAAAACAGACAACAAAAAAAAGGGAAGCAAGCTTGCAAGAAAGAAAAGAAAAAGAAAGAAAGAATGTAAATAGGAGGTTAGACAATGTGGATTAAAAAGTAATGGAGAAGAAAGAAAACCGAAAGAAAGATAAGTGAGTCTAAAACAAAGAAAGTAGAAAAGAAAAAGAAAGAGAGAACGAAAGAGATCAGGGAAGATAAAGAAAGAATATAGGTTGAGAATTAAAAAGAAAGAAAGAAAGAAAGAAAGAAAAATAACGAGAATACAGGAGAAAGAGAAAGAAAAAGAAGAAAAGAGAGGCATGATGAAAAAAGTGGATGAGTGAGCACAAAAGAAAGAATAGTGGAACTAAAACACAAAGAAAGAAAGAAATAATAAAAGAAAGAAAGAAAGAAAGAAAGAAAGAAAAATGGAACAAAAGAAAGAATGTAGGTTGAGAATTAAAATGAAAAGAAAGAAAAGAAAGAAAGAAAAAATAACGAGAATACAGGAGAAGAAAGAAAAAAAAAGAAGAAAAAGAGGCATGATGAAAAAAGTGGATGATGAGCACAAAAAAAAGAATAGTGGAACTAAAACACAAAGAAAGAAAGAAATAATAAAAGAAAGAAAGAAAGAAAGAAAGAAAGAAAGAAAAATGGAACAAAAGAAAGAATAGGTTGAGAATTAAAATGAAAAAAGAAAGAAAGAAAGAAAATAATAAGAATACAGGAGAAAGAAAGAAAGAAAAAAAAGAAGAAAAGAAATGATGAAAAAAAAAGTGGATGAGTGAGCACAAAAGAAAGAATAGTGGAACTAAAACACAAAGAAAGAAAGAAATAATAAAAGAAAGAAAGAAAGAAAGAAAGAAAGAAAAATGGAACAAAAGAAAGAATGTAGGTTGAGAATTAAAATGAAAGAAAAGAAAAAAGAAAAATAACGAGAATACAGGAGAAAGAGAAAGAAAAAAAAGAAAAAGAGGCATGATGAAAAAAAGTGGATGAGTGAGCACAAAAGAAAGAATAGTGGAACTAAAACACAAAGAAAAGAAAAAATAATAAAAGAAAGAAAAGAAAAAAGAAAAAAAAATGGAACAAAAAGAAAGAATGTAGGTTGAGAATTAAAATGAAAGAAAGAAAGAAAGAAAGAAAAATAACGAGAATACAGGAGAAAGAGAAAGAAAAAAGAAAAAAGAGGCATGATGAAAAAAAAAAAGTGGATGAGTGAGCACAAAAAGAAAGAATAGTGGAACTAAAAACACAAAGAAAATAAAAAGGAAAGAAAAAAAAAAAGAAAGAAAGAATGTAGTTGAAATTAAAATGAAAGAAAGAAAGAAAAGAAAAAAAAAAAGAAAAAATGAACAAAAAGAAAAGAATTAAAAAGAAAAACTAAAAAAAAAAAGAAAAAGAAAAGAAAAGAAAGAAAAATAAAGAAAAAGAAAAGAAAAGAAAGAGGCATGATGAAAAAAAGTGGATGAGTGAGCAAAAAAGAAAGAATAGTGGAACTAAAACACAAAAAAGGAAAGAAAGAAATAATAAAAGAAAGAAAGAAAGAAAGAAAGAAAGAAAAATGGAACAAAAGAAAGAATGTAGGTTGAGAATTAAAATGAAAGAAAGAAAGAAAGAAAGAAAAATAACGAGAATACAGGAGAAAGAGAAAGAAAAAGAAGAAAAGAGAGGCATGATGAAAAAAGTGGATGAGTGAGCACAAAAGAAAGAATAGTGGAACTAAAAACACAAAGAAAGAAAAAAGAAAAGAAAAAAATAAATAAAGAAAGAAAGAAAGAAAAGAAAGAAAAAAATGGAACAAAAGAAAGAATGTAGGTTGAGAAATAAAA